ACTCATATAGTCCTGAGTTTACATTCTACTAAACAGTATCACACCTCTACTAAATAGCTGTGTGATACTGGGTAAATAACTAACTTCTTTAAGCCTCAGTGATCATACCTGTTGGGATATTTAAGAAATATATGCACGAAAAGCAATTAGACAGAAGATGAGTTATGATGGTGGTGACAATAAGCTTTGTTCAGTTGTCATCTTTTCTCTAAGGCCTATCCTGGCCATCCCACTTAAAACTGTAATATGCCCATATTCTCCCAACCTCACATTTGTGCTACCTCATCCATTTGCTCTATTTTTTCCATAACATGTACCACTTTTTAACAAACTATTAAACATCAATCAGTAGGTTATGATTTCCAGTCACAATGACATCACATCACATAAACTATCACCCTCTTTGCTGATCTTAACTTCTCAGACTCACATAGAAAAAAAGCCTTCCAAAATACTAATTAGTGGGCTCTTACATCTTAAAATTGAATCTAGAGTTATTAACTCTCTAGAATCGAGTTTCTGGGAGGACGGAGAGTTTCTATCTTTTACTTTTGCAACAAATGCTTAGAACAGTGCCTGACAAGTGGTCAGTAGTCAATTAAAGCTTGTTGAATGAGTAATAATAAGAAAATGCCTTGAGGAATATTATCAGTTTCAGATAGCCTTAAATTGTAGAGAAATACCTTTTAGTTCTTTTTATGTTCCTAACACTCAGTATAATCGTATAATCAAGTGCTTGTCACTGAAGGTGAAATTAGAAGCAGAACTCTAACATGGCGTTTATCTCTCCATGTCTGGATATGGCCCAAGCCAGTTCCTTGCGCATCTCCAGTAGGGAAGAAGGGGAGGGTTCCATAGGCAAAGAGGCGGGTTCAAGTTTACAAAGCCTCACCACTCCATGCAGAGCAAGAGCCCCTACTGCTTCCAGAGAAGAGGAGGTAGAATTGTTCCAATAACCTAAGTTTTCACAACAAAAATGAGCCCTTCCTTGTCCAATCAAGGGAGGAGCAGTGATTCTGCCAGTGGGTTCCAAAGGACACTGGCAACAAAGAAACTAGAATAAAGACCTTCCCCGTTATCTTACAATATCCTTGAGCCCTGGACCTATGACCCCTGGGCTCTAACATTTATCGAGTCCTGTGAGTAGTCTGACTCTTCTTGAGCATAGTCAAGTTTAATGAGAAGGCTGCCAAACCAAGCATGGCCAGGCATTCAGGAGTAGGCTGCCTACCAAGAATAGCCCATTGGTCCTTCAAAATCTATATTTTAAACATACCTTGAATACTTAATTCAGCTGCTGAATTTTAATAACCTTGTATCAGTCAGCTTTGTATCGATGCCATGACATCACCTATTTTCAGAGGGTCTAATAGTTGAAAGAAAAAAAATGGTTTCATATCAGTATATCATTTTTTAGAGGATCTTGGTCCCAAAGAGGGGATTGTCCTAGCAACTCTCCTATAAATTACCAGGGTAACTCAGAGCAAAGCCAAACCTACTAGAACACTCTGGCCTAATCTCATATGGGCTCACTCCTAATGACAGGAGTATGATTTGATAACATGGTGATTTTTACTCAGCTTTTTAATTTTAGTCCATTTTCTCTCTGCAAAGTCTGTTCTACCATACACTTTCCCTTTCCTTCTTTCTTCAGTCTTATATTTTCTTTTTTTATGAAAATATTCTAAAACAACCTAAATAAGCATTTTCCAAAGAAGATATATAAATAGACAATAGGTACATGAAAAGATGCTTATCATTAGTCATAGAGAAATGCAAATTGGAATCACAAAGAGATATTACTTCATACCTGTTACAATGGGCATCATAAAAATGACAAGAGATAACAAGTGTTGGCAAGGATATGGAGGAATGGGAATGCTTGTGGACTGTTAGTGGGACTGTAAACTGGTACAGTCATTATGGGAAACAGTATGAAGGACCCTCAAACAAATTAAAAATAGAACTATAATAATCCAGCAATTCCCCTATTGAAAATATGTCCAAACAAAATAAAAACTCTAACCCAAAAAGATATCTGTACCCCCATGTTCATAATAGCATTATTTATAATACCCAAGACAGAGAAACAATCCAAGTGTCCATCAATGGATAAATGGATAAAAAAGTGTGTGTGTGTGTGTGTGTGTGTGTATGTATATGTGTGTGTGTGTCTCCTACCTTTTGCAACAACAGGGGTGGACCTTGAGGACATTATGCTAAATGAAATGCCAGAAAGAGAAAGACAAATACTGCATGATCTCACACATGTGTGGAATCTAAAAACAAAAAAAACAACCACAAAAAACCCCACCAAACTCATGGAAGAAAAATCAGATTTGTGGTTTCCAGAGGCAGAGATGGGGGTGGAGGGAGAGGATAAATTAGAGGAAGGTGGTCAAAGGGTACAAACTCCTAGTTATAAGATAAATAAGTACTAGGGATGTTATGTACAGCATGATGATTATAGTTAACAGAGCTGAGTGATAGATATGAAAGTTGGTAGAAGAATAAATCCTAAGAGATTTATCATAAGGAATTTTTCCTTTTTTAATTTTTCTTCTCATTAAATTTGTATGAGATGATGGATACTAATTGAACTTGTGTTCATCATTTCATAATGTATGTAAGTCAAACCATAATGCTGTACATACACCTTAAATTTATACAGTGATATGTGATAATGATATCCTAATAAAAATGGGGAAAAGATAAAATAACTTCATCTACCAAAAAAGGAGCAAATTATGTCATCTATAGTACTAGAATCAGGAATAATCATCGCTACAAGGATAGTTTCTATTGATTGACTTACTCTTTCATCATCATGCTCTACCTGTTAATGCTTACCAGAACAGTGCAATAGATGCTATGGACAGTAGAACAAATCATGACAACATCTTATGACACTAGTAGGTAAAGTACAGCTGAGTCTGAGGTGAGCAGGCAACAGAAAAGACCTCCTATTTCCACAATATATTCTCCACAACTTGGGGATCCTCTATTAAAACCTCTTTTATTTGAGCTGCAAAAGAATTTTCCCTCTTCAAGAGTTGCCTAGTGAAATATAAATACCCCTGGTAGGTGCTATGCCAAATCATCTCACACTGTAGTTATTGCTATATATATATACCTTGGTAGATAACTTGTCAAGAGGAAAACACTAAATGAATTAGCAATTATTGCAAAGGCACTGGGGAATGGGGGCAGGGGACAAGAGGGGAGATATGCAGGGAATGATGGAAAGCTTCTAGTGATAAACTTCATCAATCCACCAGGTTCTTGAGTGCATGACACAGCTGAGGTCGTGTGATGTAGTGGGGCACAGTGAGTAGGCAGTGGAATCATAGAACTGGTCTACACCTGGGCCTGCGTGCTCTCTACTTAGTCACAAGACATTAGATCAATTACCTTGGCCCTTTGAGCCTCAGTGTCCTCATCTGTAAAACAAAATAACACCATTATATGTGTCAGGGTTCTCCAGAGAAGCAGAATTGATAGGATATGTGCTTAACACATAGAGATTTGTTCTGAGGAATTGGCTCACATGATTATGGAGACTGAGACATCCACATTCTGCCTTCTGCAAAATGGAGACACAGGAAAGCCAGTCATACAGTTCCAAGCCAACACTGAAGGCCTGAGAACCAAGGGAGCAATGGTGTAACTCCCAAAGTGAGTCCGAGGGTGAAATATGATGTTTCAGCTCAACTGTCAGGCATAGAAAGTGAATTCCATCTTCTTCTGCCTTTTTGTTCTATTTGGGCACTTATGGGAGGGCAATCTTCTTTACCCAGTCTACTGGTTCAAATACTAATGTCATCCAGAACACCCTCACAGACACACCCAGAAATAATGTTTCCCAAAATATCTGGGCAGGCTGTGACCTAGTCAAGGTGTCACATAAAATTAACCATCCCTTGTCACCTTGTCACCTGCACACACCTCCTTAAACCATACTTCAACTCCAAATCAAGAAAATAACACAGTCATAATTCCGCCCAACATGATTCAAAACCATCCTTTGTCCAACTGAAAATGCACTAACCTCTCCCCAGAAGTTAGTCTTTGAGTGATGCTTAATCTTCTCTTTGATATCCTATAACTTAAATACTCTAATGTAAACTTAACAATACATAAATACTATGACATAAAGAAGGGGGGTGGTAAGAAATTAATTAAAGGACTTGTATGCATGTATATGAGCATAACCAATGGACCCAGACAGTACGGGTGTGAGGGCATGTTCTGGGGGGTGGGAGCGGCTGGGGAGAGGTCAATGGGGGGAAAAGGAGACTTATGTAATACTTTACACAATAAAGAATTCAAATTTTAAAAATTCATTCATTAATTAAAATTTAAAAAAAAAGAAAACACACATGTATTCATAACAAAATAAGGAGAAAATACCCATGACAATTACAGTCTTTGTTTCTGTAACTGGTTAGTGGTCATAGTATTTATAACTACTTTCTTCCACTACCCATTCTGTATTCCTTTGGCCTTTAGTAAGCACCTCAGCTGGTTGTGATTCTTTACCTGGTGGGGTGACCTAAACCTTCATTCCTGAAGGGTCTGGGGCATTAGAAGTCTTGCCTGAATTGGGTTGTTGTAATTTTCCTTTCATCTTAATCACAGGGCATGGTAATATTAAGTGAAGCCCTAAGGGGTCTCCTGTATACCAGATATACTCTTCTTTACCTCCACTGTAGAGAAGTAGCCTAATTTCCCCTTATGGGTCAGAATCAATCACCCTAGCCAACACCATAACTCCATTCTTCACCTGTAGACTTAGGAGCATGAGAAAGCCGAAGTGGTCAAGTGGCAGTCTTAACTTCCAGTCCAATGGGATTATTTTTGTCTCCTGATAGAGGCATCTCTCCCTCTGGAACCTTTAGGCCAGCAGAGCATAAGGTCATGGGAACAGGAAGCAAAAATGTTGCCTGTGGGCCATTAGAATAACAATAGGATAATAATCATTTCCACTCCTTGATTCCTAGGGCAGTGAATCCTGGCTATGGAAGAAACAGCACCACATACCAGATGCTGATTCAGAGCACATACAGCCTTGTGGAGAACCTTGCCTCAGCCCTTGCCAGGTATTGCCACCTAGCTGGTGCTGTAACTGAGTCTTCCAAAGACAATCCACTGTTCCGTCAAGTCTACCTCCGGCTGGAGGTGAACATGGTAAGACCAGTGAATCCGTAAGCATTGGCCCATTGCCCCACTTCTTTGGCTGTGAAATATTTTTTGATCAAGAAAAGGAACATATGTAATACTTTCAACAATAAAGATTTTTAATAAATAAATAAATAACGAGAAAAAAAGGCAATGCTGTGTGGAATACCATGATAGTGGATTCTAATGATTAAAGAAGATAATATATGTCATTTTACTTCCCTAGAAATCATAAGCATGCATGTTCATCAGAAATGTTTAATAACACCGTGTATTTGTCAGTGAATGTTTCTGACAATGAATGCTTTGGGAAATTATAATGTAATCAAATTTTCAGAGATAAAGTTTCCTTAGAGATTATGCACTGGCTTTCAAACTTTTTGAAACTCAAAACCCTCCCTTCTAATGAAATTTACAAGAAAGCTATTATGTAAAATTAGACTTGCTACATTTAAAAGTGGATCAGGTGGGAGGTAGTACACAGACAGGGGCAATGCTTGCTCAGACAAGGTACGTTCCAGAATAACCCAGGAGAAGTATTCTGAAAAACATACTCAAAGAATATGGGAGTCCGCTGCCATTAATTGAGTGGCACCCAATCGCTTTTACCGGTAGGTAGATTTAGAAGAAAAACAATCAGTGAAACTATTTTGATAACACATATTTCACAAATATACAATGTAAGATGAATTTTTATTTTTAAAGAAAATGTTTATGGTTAACTCACCTCATGTTTCTAAAGATTCTGCTTGCACTTTAATTTGAGTCAGTCTGCCTTGGATAATGCTCTGGAAACAGGTACATTTTCTTTTTCAGGGGAAGCTTTTTTATTTAATATATATTAAATCATTGCTCAGGTTTTTTTAACTTGTATTTTGCATTAAAGTACCAATCCACAAATATGAATTGATGACTCAACAGTAGTTCATGAAGCATAAAAGGAATGATGAAAATACTACAGCAAATACTACAATAAAGAACAACTTGTAAGTGAAAATAATTAACTTGTGCACAAATACAGATTATAAATTTCAGTGTGAATCTGTGAATGACATGCATTTTCACAAGCAACCTCCCCTGCCTGGTATGTCCCTCCTGAATACCACATCATCACATGACATAGGATAAAGTTTTATTGAAAAGGTCAAAGCTTCAAGGCCAGAATCTGCAAGAAAGAGAAGAGGAAGCACTATTCCTTCCCACACTCTCCATCATCCATGGAGAGGCATGCCAGGGCCCAGGTAATCTGCTATTTTGTAGTTTTATAGGTCAGGTTTTAAAGAAGTCTTGTCAACTGGATAACTAAACAGACTGCTCAACCTCAGAAAGTTAGGACTTGGGGAGCCAGCAGTTTACACAAGTTGGGATAGAGAGCTGCCCAGACATGGCTAGTACAGGTCCCATGAGGAGTCCCTCTGTCTGCCATCAATTCTGAAGGTAGTGGAACTTGGGTGCGGTGCCTCCTGGTGGAAAATGGGTAGAGGTGGGGTGCAGTTCTATCCAGATAATTGCTCATTGCATGACAACTAAGTGGTGGGCAACATTGGTGTTAAGCTAGACTTAGTCTTCCATGTTAAATGCTTTAGAGTTCATTTTTGCTAATATCAGTCAAGGTACCAACAGGAAACAATGGCATAAAGATGAGAACAAGGAATAGTTTAGTAAAGGAGCTACTTGTAAAAATGTGGGCAGACATAAGGGAACCAACAAGGGAAGGGGAGGCAACCCCAGGCTAGCATCAGGAGGGCACCATTACCACCCTTGGGCCTGAAGGGGAAGGGGGTGGTGATTACCAAAACCCAGAGAGGGCTATAGCTGTGGAGAAGCTGAGGGACATGCAGTGGACTTCAAGAGCTTTGGTGTAGGAACTTGCTAATCCCAACCTACAATCCTGCATGAGACAACAGGGAGAATGTGGACCCTGACCTCACCCATCTCCTCTCTAACCTCTTGCTGGTGTTTCCATTGACCAAACCCAACTGCCAACAAGTCAGAGGGCAAAGAATGTGGCGTGGCAAATCCAGCTGATGAAGTTCATAAGGGTCAGCCTTCGAGGGCACATTGTCCAGTGGAGAAGGTAGAGTGGATAAGAAGGCAAACAGAGAATGTCCACATACCAGGAAAGACAGGGCAGCTTTAGGAGGGCAAAGGAGGTAAGAGACTGATGGCAGGGCATAGAGATTGATGAATAAGAGTCCACTTTTTCAGTAAGTTGATCAGGAAGAAAAGGATCATGTTACAAAATGATCTGAAAGATGTATCTGGATTAGGAAAAGAGTATTTTTTGATTTGGGGGGGGGGATTTTGAATTTTCATGTGAAGATTATAAGGACCCACTGTAAAAGGAATAAACAGATATACCCACAATGGGAGAGTAGAGCCTTGAAGACAAATTGCAGTATTATATTGAACATTGTCAAAATTATGCCAACTGTTTACTAGAATTCATTACCTCCCTTAATCTAGAATTTATTACCTCCCTTTACCAGAATTCATTACCTCCCTTCGTCTTAGAATGCATTCTGCTACAGTAGGTTTACTATGCCATCTCCTAAAAGTGTTTTTATTAAGGTTAGACTTTAAAATGTTCTCATATATGACTTGAACAGATTAAGGCACTTGATTGAAATAAGAAGACCAGATTTAAGGATCAGGTAAAGATTTAAGAAAATTAAATATATTTCAAGAATAATTAGCCTATTGGAATACTTTCTTTGCTAAAAATTAAATATGAAACAAAGACTAAATTTTATTCACAAATTAAAATGCTTTATATATTTTTCCTACATTTAACAATTTCAAGGTATTTCAAGACTAAGATACAATGTGTTATGTAAATTCTACCTCCGGAACTTTGTGGCCTCTCAGTATCATTTAAAGGACAAATTAGAATTCTTTTAGCTTTATCCACTTGAGACTATTATGGGTGTTACTCCAGGAATCACAGTGCTTGAACTCCTAATAGGTCATTAATCACATTAGGGACATTATTTCATGTATTGTGAAAGAACTTCATTCATACTTAAAATGAGCCAGTGACTTAGGAACCATGAAGAGTGGAGCAGAAATGTTTCCTCATCCTAAGAAGACAGCTGAAATCTCAGTTTCCATTGTCACCTATTTCCACACTAGCCCGTCCATATCCACCATAGAAGTATCTAGCCCTTTCCTAAAAATGTGTCTCTGGTATTTAAAAGTATGGTCTTTTTAAGCATAGACTGTTGAATCTCAGAGGGAAGGTCGGGGTGGGTGGGAAGAGATCAACCAAAGAACTCATATGGATATATGCATAACCCATGGACACAGACAATAGTGTGGTGAAGGCCTGGGGGGAGGGAGGGGCTAGAATGGGTCAATGGGGGGAAAAGAGGGACATATGTAATACTTTCAACTATAGATTTAAAATACAAAATAAATAAAAGTATGTATTTTTTTAACATCTAATTTTCCACTTATAAAATGTGCTACTCATATGTATATAGATGTATAGATTGGAGTTCTTTCATTGGTACAGGGGCCAAACCAATTGATCAAACAATAATATCTTAAGCTATCCCATATTTTGCTGTAATGAGGTAAAAGTCAGAGGTCTTTAAAAAAAGTAATTGTAAACTACAAAACCCATATGTTTCCTTTTCTCTTCCAGTCCTGAAACAATAAACTAAGATAACAAATGGAATTTCGCAGGCTTTGGTTAGAAGCCTTTATCTTCAAAAAAGACCTGAGAAGGAAGACGGCTGACTTTCCCATGTGAGAAGGCATATCATCTACTGAGATGTGTCTTCCTTGTTGGCACCTCCCTATGAAAGAAGTGGGAGACTACAATCAGCTTCGACTTGTGAAAATTAAAAATAACCTTCAGGCTAATGGGTTTTCAACACCACTCCTTACTGGGCAAAAATTAATTGAGCCACACAAGATTAAATTACCTCCTCAAAACCGACTTCTCCAATAAATTGCAACATTAGATACAGTAAAATTGGAATTCCTACAAAACAATTCCCCCCTTCCTATCTCTGTTAACATTGACTTTATCTTTAATGGAGTACTCCATCTAGTTCTGGGGTCCAAAAAAAGGGGGAGCAGAAGTATAAAAACTGTCAAAGACTGTTAGGAAAAATTAAAGGCAAGAAAAACAAATCAGATCTTTGAGGAAACTATAACTGTATTTTAGAGAAATAAGTGCTTTAGCACTTTACCAAATGCTAAATATAAGGAAAGTGGAGATTTTTTTTTTTTTACCTTGCAGAAGGTGACTTGCTATTTTCAGTGTCTTTGAAGTAGCAGTCAGAAGGAAATAATCAAAGAAATACACATTGTGATGAGTTTGTAAGGTGGTAGGTAGCTCTTGTATCAACTCTGCAATCACTAAAAATTGACTGTATTTCCACTAATTGAGGTAGTCCTTTTTAAAGGGGGTTGGAAGTCATAGATGCATTGTTGAATGCATAGTGTTTTAAGAACTAAACCAGTTTCTTTAAGAATGAAAATGCCACTACAATCCACTTGAAAAATTGGCCAAACATACACAAAACCAGAGACAATTCATGAACACCAGATGAAAATACAAACTGTGTGCGTAACGTGAACTGTGAGACAAGTTTAATTACAGGCACTATTATGGAGGTTATGTAAAGCTAACGTGTTTAATTTGGTCTGAAAGGCAATGGGAAAATATTATCCTGGCAGCTGTATTCACGATGGGCTACAACCAGGAGAAATTATGCAAACTAATCCTAATCCTAACAATATCTAACACTTGAAGGTGCCAGACACCCTACTAGACATTCCCATACATTAACATGTTAAATCCTCAAGGTAATGCTGTGAGGCAGTTATTATCCCATTTTACAGATGAGAAAATGATGTCTGACTTTTCCAGGAAGCTTCCTGCACAGCAATTCCCATGCAGGTGATTGCAAGTAAAGTCCATTTCACTTTCAAAGCAGGAATTACCCAGAAAGGAATACTCATAAGGCCAATAGCTATATTGTTTTAGATGTTTTATT